TATCTCTATCTCTATCTCTATCTCTATCTCTATCTCTATCTCTATCTATCTCTATGGATATCCTATTGGTTCTGTTTCTCTAGAGAACCCAATTTAGGTGGGAAGTAAATACACAATGTGAATGCTCTGTGATGGGTCTCACCACGGCATCAGGTGCTATGAGCATGTATAGCATGAGGACCACTTAATGCTGTCTTTGAAGGATGGATTGGATGGAGCTGCCCAAAATAAGGGTTGAAAATGAGAACAACCTTTAATGGGGAGACACAAGGGGAGGAGCCCCAAAGGACACAGCTGAAGATCAGCCAGAGGATGAAGAAGATAAATAAGACAGGGGACATGCAAGGCCAAGAAAGACAAAGAGGAAAGCTTTCCCAAGAGAAGGGTTCATCCAAAGGGAATTGTACAGAAAGTGTAAGTCGGAGAGAGGATTCAGTGCAGTGGGGATTTCAGGCAGGTGTTCGTATGGCATAAAGAGGAGACACAGGGCGTGGCTGTGGAGGGGGCTGGAGAGGAATGAACAACAGATCTTGAAGTGAGAAGAACAAGAATTTGATGAGTCCTACTCCCCTAAAGGGCTCAAGGTACACATCAATGGCTGTCCCCAGGAGAGCACTGTAGGGCAGTGGTGGCCCCAGGGAAAAACCAAGCAATAGAAGAAGGGTTGAGAAAGTGGAGGTGTTTGTTCATTGTGGTACACATGTCCCAGAAGGAGAAGAGCAGTTAGAGGCTGGTCAGGAGCCTGGGCGCTTAGGGACCCAGGCTTTGAGAGATGCAGTTGTGATGACCAGATGGGCTCATCTCCCAGGAAGGAAGGGACGTGGGAGCCCTAGTCCATGGTCTCAGCCTGCACCGCACAGTGGAATCACCCAGGAATCTTTACAAATACTGCTGCCGCGGTCCCACCCCAGAAACACTGTTGTTACTAACCAGGGGTACAGCCTCAAGATAAGAATGTTGAGAAAATCTGTCCGTGTCATGCTGATGTACAGTAAGGGGTAAGAAGTATCCAAGTTCAATGACAGGTTAGGAGAACTGTGCTTCCCAGAACTGTCACACTTACAGAGAATAGCTATTTCCCTGTACTGGGGAGTATCAGGAGGATCTCCAGGTGTTTGTGAAGATGTTATCATGGCCTGAGATCATTGTAATTCTGCATGTGTTCTCACCTGACATCCGTGGATGAATATACTCTGCATTCTGGGTGGGGTCCTTTGAGGTCTGGGTTGCTTTACCCTGGCACCAAGGAAAAGCTCTAGTTTCAAGACAAGTGGCATGCAAACTGTTAGGCAGAGGGTCCTTTTTCTGAGTTCCCTGGGAAAATCTCACTTTACATATTTGGGGGATTCCAGACTTTCTGGAAGGGACCATCCACAGTCCCTGAGGTAGCCATTATTATCTCAGTTTGAAAGATGAGGAAACTGGGAGCACCTGGGTGGCTCAGTTGCTCTGACTCTTGGTTTTGGCTCAGGTCACGATCTCACGGTTCATGAGTTGAAGCCCCACACTGGGCTCTGTGTGGGATTCTCTCCCTCCCTCTCTCTCTGCCCCTCCCCTCCCTCAAAATAAATAAATAAACTTTTAGAAAAAAAAGGATGAAGAAACCAAGAAATAGAGAGGAAAAACAAATTGTCCCTGCGTTACCCATCTAGTAGGTTCAACAGTATGTTAGTTACGTATTGCTAAATGGATCACTGGAGGCCAAGCAAGACTGACCCCACAGAAAGCCAAGAACGCAGTTTTTCGCCAAAACCAAGGATATGGGCATTGATTCAATAATCCAGTCTGAAATTTGGCTTCTGTAGGAGACAAAATAAGAGAGAGGCTTCACTGATATTGGAAGCATGAGTTTCGCCTGGATGTCCCATGTGACCATACGGGAGCAGAGCATGAAGGAGAAACCTCACCATGAAGATCCCCACACGTATGAGGAGCTGACTTCTCTCACTCCTCCACAACACAGCTCCAATGTGGAGCTTCAAACGTGGTTTTAACATTCAGAGGCAGGCAGGTGTGAATCTCCTGACCATAGCTTGGAGTCTATGATCTTGAGATCAATGGTGCTTCGAACCCATCCTCTGCGGAAAGAAGATTGATTTATCCGTCAACCCTTAAGTCTGGGGCTGGCTGACTTAATATGGGGCTGTGTCTAAGGTGTGGAGGGTAAGTGGTGATCAGATTCCGTCTCTTTTATGCCTTGTATGTCCAATAGACTACCCTTCGTCGTCACCAAAATTCTGCTCACATATCACAGTGTTGGCCGACGTCGTTGACTCATGGCCAGGATTTACCGAGATGAGCAACTCCCCCAAATATACTGACTATCTTTCTTAAACCCACTGTGGGGCTCCTCCAATAGACAGCTGTGTTCCTAAAGCATCTGTGACGAGAAGGCCTTGGAGTCCAGGTGAGCAGAGCTGGTATGAATGGCTGGAACAGCACACAAAGGGTGAGATGTAGGATTATAAACCATGCTGCTCACACAAATTTCCCCCGAAGACATCTGGTCTTGAAATGGATGTGTGCATTGCATCTCATTGTCTGCAGACAGCAGGACAGCCTGGTGATCCATATCCGCCAAGCCCACACGTGTCATTGTCTCTCAGCAGCTGCATCACGGCTGACACTCTCTTGGTCACCGCCACCAAGGAGGGTATGAAGAAACATCCCCGTGGGAGGTCCATCCTAGCAGTGAAGTCCGGCTTCACCTGCTCTTTGGAATAGATCTCTTTGCAAAAGCTCATTAGCCTCTAAATCCTAGTGCAACTGTGGGACACAATCTATTGTGTCTGATAACATTGAAGGGTAATCATGCCTCTAAACACAGAGTACTCTCCTCTGTTTAAGCAAATCTGAATGAAAAAAACATACGTCATTTTAAAGTTCTCTTCTAAACACCTGTAGCTCTTATCAATAGATTTGTGACTTAACACAGCAATGGAGCCGCCATGTTCTAAAATGAGGTATTGGAAGGTATGATGCCATTTAAAACTAAAAGTTTATACAATAATTACGCTGTGTTGTGAAATAGTGTAAAATGCACGAAGGTAGGTGCAAAAGACCTCTGGAAATACATATTCCCTTTTGGCAGAAAAAATAATTTTGAGGACCCCATTGGTGGGAAGTGGGCCAAAAGATGCACAGAAACTGGCCTCCAGCAAACTTCAGAGAAGAAATGATACATCTGGGGTGGGATATGGTGGCATGCCGAATAGACTGGACTTCCATTTGGCCACATGTGTTGGGCCTCTTTGCATGCATCTTCTAAAATGAAATTGCCCGGGGTGCCTGGGTGGCTCAGTTGGTTCAGTGTCTGATGCGGGCTCAGGTCATGATCTCACAGTTTGTGGGTTCGAGTCCCATGCCAGCCGTCTATGCCGACAGCTCAGAGCCTGGAGCCTGCTTCAGATTCTGTGTCGCCCTCTCTCTCCGCCCCTCCCCTACTCGTGCTGTGTCTCTGTGTCTCTCTCTCCCAATAATAAATGCTAAAAAAAAAATAAAAATAAAAAACGACTTCCTATTAAAAAAATAAATAAATACAAATAAAATGAATTTGCCCACGAGAACAATTACCTGTCTTTTCCAAGAAGGAAATAACCAGCACTTGCCGTGTGGCTCCAATCTCAGATTTTTTAAGATCTAATTTAGACGCTAAGTTAACAAGCCAAACTTTTTAGCCATAAAGTTAGACTAGAGGAAAAGAGAGAAAACTTTTAGGATGAACGGGGTCAATACATGTCAGAGAAACTTCTAGATTCGTCCCCTACAAAGGTCAAGGTCACATCACTGACAAGATGGTGGTCCAAGTTAATGGCATGGCTTGGTGAATCCATTTATGTAGGCTACAATTGAAGCCTCTGAAGCTTTGCACAGCAGCTCCTGGTATAATCCTGGGCATAAATACCCTCAAGGAGACTTGAGAATAGTCCTTTTGAAAGAAGGTTAAACATCATTCTCTCAGCTACTTCCTTATAGAATTCTGAATCCGGGTTTCATTAAAAGAAGAATGTGGCAACAAAGGGACATCCTACTACTGCTTATTTAGAGATTTCAACCATACATTACATCCCTGGGATGAAAATGAAAGCTTCTCATGTACCCAACCTACCATTCTAGGAGCCAAAATATCAAGGTGAAAAGCATCCCCTCTGATTGTCTGAGCATGGAATACAAACAAAATAATTACTGACTCAAAAGGCATTTCAAACATGGAACCATGCAAAATAGGGAAGATTCTGTTTGTAAATTCCAATCACTACTTAGAAAGACTTTAAGGATTCATATCCTAGGCAACAGAAATGTGCTCCGTAAAAGAAATCTTCCCACATGCTTTTCTATATTTGACATAGTTAAGCTTACATTTAAACAAATGAGTTTCTTACCTCTCTACTGAGTGGTTCTTCAGCAAACCAGCTTTCTGTTCTCCAAGTCACTCCATGAATGGGCAGAAAGAACTGGATCCCATTGTGGGGACCACAGGCCACCTCTCATCTAAGAGGGGTAGAAACTTTCATATCAAGACTTCCAGATGCAGATGCTCAGGCATCAGCTGCCATTATCTTATAGGGGAGAGCTTTGTGGAAAACATCCTTGTCCCACGAATACGAAAGTGGCATCAGTGACCAAGAATCAATGGTACATACAGTCATGGAATTGGCTCCCCATAAAAAAGACCATTTCTAGGTTGATACATATCTTTTCTGGTTTAAAGAATAATCAGGGGGATAAATCTGAGACATCGGACTATGTTTACTGCAGTCATGAGATAAATTATCATTTTCTTCCATTACAGTTTGAATTTATGATTTTGGACACTTCAGTCATTAAGGCAAGGTATATAAACCTAATTGCAAACTCTCAGGACCATCGAAACAAGAACATTCCAGGGACTGCCACCTGAGACCTTTGCTTGGGGGTCCATGTGCCGCTGCTCCTGAGTCGGTCATTTGATAAACCAAAGGCAGGGAGCAAGAGTCTCGACTAAGTGATGCTACAATGCTGAGGCCCTCATCGTCCCAGGCCATGAAAAGCTGCAGCATGGCAAAGAACGTCAGCATGATGAAAACATCATGGGATCCAGGATGAGAATATGAATGTGGGACCACCGTGTTGCAATATGGTGACCATGGATGTGGGAGAAAGATGCCAAAGTACTTCTGGACGCCTGTTTGGGTTCCAGGGCCTGGCAACCTCCTGTTGTAGCAAAATGAGTTCTCCGTGCGTTCCAGCCCCACAAGCCTGGTGAACAGTGCTTCAAGGACATGCAACATTCCAACAAACCGCACGGCCGTGGGATCAGGAAACTTTTAGTGCGACAGAAATTTACTATAACCTCCATCTACCTTCTTCATTTTTCAAGTCCAATTCTGCAGAGTGCACTGCAGCCCTAGTGTATGATGAAATGCTACATCCTAGAGGTCTTTTGCACGTCAATGGTTTCTTTGAGGGAGACCAAGCTGGTTTTGATGCTGAATTGCATCTTCAGGGGGCAACACCATGCAAAGTTCTTTCTGAAAGAAAAGACAGAAGAACATGAATCAACAACGGAAACATGGATTAGTTTTTCCCTGTGTCATTAACATTTTGGAATAAATAAAATAGCCACTAGTTTCATTTCAGTCTTAACTTATTTTTAATAAATTTTTATCATAATCCAGATTTAAATCACCATTAACAGATGAGAAAACAGCATTAATTGACTCAATTTAGGTCCGAGGTTGGTAAGGATGTTTAAACAAAGACAGATTATGAATGACAATAATTCTCTTACATTAAATCACATGACATGATTCTCTTAGATTCAAACAACAACAATAACAACAAAGAAGATATAACAAACCAAAAGAAGAAGAAAAAAAAAAAACCTTTCCAGAATCAATTCTGGACCATCTTAGCCAAAGAATATTTTTATGGGTTGTGATGATCAGTCATGACAGTACTAAGAAGCCACCAAGAGCATAAGGTAAGAATTTTGATACAGAAGAAAATGTGAACTGTATTTCACAATCTTGGTTTCCTGTCTCTTGAGAGAACTGTGTGCACTTTGCATTACCAAGTCCATTCACCAACCTCATGAACTCTGAACTTTAGATGTCCAGGCTTAGACCTCAGAACAATGCTAAATAGGACTGCTTGTTAAAGATCCGGAGGAGCTCAAAACAGACACGTTCATGGTCACATATGATGGAACAAGCGGAAGATAAACAATCATTAGATAAGACATAAAACCTCCAGAATCATGGCTGTGATTTGCTTCTAGATTAATATTCTATCATCGAATATTTAGTGTTAAATAATGTAATAATGTACAAAATATAATGTTATAATAATTTGTGTCATGTTATCTGACAGTGCATTATATGCATGTTATCTTCCAAATGATGTCTCCTTGCAGCTAAACCAGTAGGCATTTGATAGAATAAATCAACATACTATAATTAAAGTATTTCAACATAAACACAATGTAGGATCCGTAGGAAGTACCTTCTCTTTTTTTGCTTAGTTCTTTTCCTTTTTAATATAATTTACAGTCAAGTGGACTAACATACGGTGTGTAAAGTGCACTCTTGGTTTTTGGGGGTAGATTCCCGTGGTTCACTGCTCACATACAACACCCAGTGCCCATCCCAACAAGTGCCCTCCTCAGTGCCCATCACCCATTTTCCCCTCTCCCCCATCCCCCATCAACCCTCCGATTATTCTTTGTATTCAAGCGTTTCTTACGGGTTGTCTCCCTCCCTCCCCAATTGTAGTGTTCTAGATATTGGGTAAGTTTGTTCCCCCAAATCCCTGTAGATAAAAAATAAACATGAAGTAAGCTGCTACCACTTTGGAAACAGACAGAGGCATACAACTATAATGGGAGTCATGTTATAGGCACAAAAGGCATATTTAAGGAATGGAATACAAGGGGGAATATACATTAATAAAAAATAATGTCACCAAATTCATCATGGATGAGATACTTCTTTGCTTAAAAACTTGATTGTGTACTGGGGCACCTAGGTGGCTCAATTGGCTAAGTGTCCAACTCTTGATTTTGACTCAAGTCATGATTGCGATCTCATGGTTGGGAGACTGAGCCTCACTTGGGTTCCAAGCTGGACGTGGAGACTGCTTAAGATTGTTTATCTCCTTCTCCCTCTGCCCTTCCATGCTTGGGCTTGCTCGCTCGCACTCTCAAAAAAATAAAATAAATTAAAATAAATTGATTGTATAGCTGGATCCTGCATGAGAAGCCAGAATATAATTGTTTCACATGCATTTTAAAGTTTATTTATTTATTTTGAGAGAGAGAGCTCACACATGCGGAAGGGGGAAGGGCAGAGAGAGAGAGAGAGGGAAAGAATCCTAAGCAAGTTCCAGGCTGGCAGCGCAGAGCCTGATGCGGGGCTTGATCTCAGGATCTGTGAAATCACGACCTGAGCCCAGACCAAGAGTTGGACACTTAACCAACTGAGCCAGACAGGCGTCCCTTTTTAACATGTGTTTTCAAATGCACATATTCTATGAACCGTTTTACTGGAATATGAAGCAAAGCATCAAGTCTCCTGCTTTGATATCCCTTCTAGAGACAGATCATAGCATTTCCTGGTTCCTGATACAAACCAGGAGTTACAGACCGATCAGGACTAACTAAAGGTCCGGGCAGTTTTGACTGGTCCTGACCAATGGCCTTAGGGTGAAAGGCACTCTCTAACATTGGCATCAGTTATATTTAATGCTTCATTTATTTTTATCTTATTATTTTTCAATGTATGTTTACAATTTCCTTATAAAAGTCTTTGCACCAGTTTTATTCTATTCATTACTAATTCCTTGTATTTGTGTGCCTTCGTGAAAGGTATTCTCTAAAAATGTATGTTCTAATTATTGCCATTATACTGATAAATAAGTGATGGCGAATATTTATGTTGTATCCTGAAACCTTGGTAAAACCTCATTGGTTTGAACAATTTACCTAACTATTCTTTGAGGTTTGAAGTTTTCTAGGTAGAAAATGAATAAGCTCTGAAGGATAACAGCTCCTTCCTTTATAAACTTCAAAGATTTTGATTTTTTTCTTATTTTATTGAGCTGGACTTTAGTACCTCCAATAAAAAAGCTGAAAGGAGGTGGTAATAAAAAGCATTCTTATTCCTGATCTTAAACAAAAATACATTTACCTTTTCACTATTAATTATATTTCAAGTCAGTTTTGTTTTAAATGATGTTTATCAGGGTAGGAAAGTTGCTTTCTATCCCTAACTGGTAAGGACGTCTTTGAAAAAGAAAAAGTCAGGAATACTGACTTTGTCAACTGTTTTTTCTTAATCTATCAAAATGATTACATAGGTTTTTATCTGGTGATTAATAGATTGATCTTTCTAATATTAATTCAGCATTGTATTTCTCAGAGAACCCCAATTATTCCATGTAATTATTATTCTTTATACATTGCTAGATTATTTTATTATTATTTTAAGATGTTTGTTCTTAGATTTGACAAAATTTATTATCCTTGGATAACCTGGTTATTAAAGTTAGGTAGCCTCATAAAATGAGTTGAGAGAAGTTTTTTATTTTTCTGGTTTTTGGAATTATTTGTTGATAGCTTGCTAGAATCAACATATAAAATCATGTGGTTACAGGTCTTTCAGTTTTTAAATTTTTTTTTTTAATATTTATTGTTTTGAGAGAGACAGAGAGACAGAGACAGAGATAGAGTGTGAGTGGCGGAGGGGCAGAGAGAGAGGGTGACACAGAATACGAAGCAGGCTCTAAGCTCTGAACTGTCAGCACAAAGGGCGAGATCATGACCTGAGCCGAAGTCCACGCTTAACCGACGGAGCCACCCAGGCACCACTCAGTTTTAAAAATGTATCTGTTTCTTGGGGCCCCTGGCTGAGTTGGTAGAGTGTGTGGCTCTTGATCTTGGGGTCATGAGTTCGAGCCCCATGTCAGGTGTAGAGATTGCTTAAATAAATAAACTTTAAAAATAAATAAATAAATAAATTGGGGTGCCTGGGTGGCTCAGTTGGTTGAGCATCCAACTTCAGCTCAGGTCATGATCTCGTGGTTCACAAGTCTGAGCTGCGCATTGGGCTCTGTGCTGACAACTCAGAGCATGAAGGCTGCTTCGGATTCTGTGTCTCCTTCTTTTTCTGCCCTCCCCAGCTCATACTCTGTCTCTCTCTCTCTTTCTCAAAAATAAGTGAAACATTGAAAAAAATTTTGAAAAATAAATAAATAAATACAATTTATGTTTCTTGTTGAGTCAGTTATAACTTTCTAGGATTTTGAAAATTTACATTTTTTAATTGGTGTGAAATTAACACTATCATTTTATTATTTTCTTGATCGTGGCAGTTTCTATCCTTTTTCTTTTTTTATTCTAATAGTATATTTCTTTCTCATATTCTCTTTCTGTCCTTCCTAATCAATCTTGCCAGAGGTTTTCCAGTCTTACTATTTTATTCTTTCTACTTCCGCGAAGTTTAATCTGTTGTTCTTTTTCTAATGCCCTATGCTATATGTTCAACTCATTGGTTTCCGTCTTATTGTCTCTTCTAACATCAACACTTAAGATTTTAAATTTCCCTTTAGATACTACTGTATAGTATCTCCCCTTTTTAAAGTATATAGTATTATTGTTGTTTATCTATATCTTCTGTTCCATTATGATCTCTTTTTGACCCACGAACTTTTTAAAACATGTGCTTTAAAAATCTAAAATATGGAGGTTTTCTACTTAACTCTTTATTCTTCATTTCTAACTTAATGCATTATGGAGAGAGAATGTGACTCATATGATACAAGCCTGATGAGATTTATTGACCACCTGCTTTATGAACTAAGCATTCAATTTTCATAAACATTCCATGTATTACCTTGAGAGAATGTATTTTTCCTTTGTTTCCTGTACATTCACATGTTAACATGAAATGTATTTTTCTTTTCATTATATTTGCTGTTTAAAAATTTTCCACCTTGTAGGAAAGTTACTGAATTATAGAGCAATTGTTCGAAAATTAATTCAAATATGTTTATAGAGTGCTAAGCACGTGCTTATGTATGCCTATATACTACGTGTTAGGAATACAGTGACGAAAGAGAACGACATAGTGTATGTTCCCATGGACCTACCATAGTGTCTAGAGGGGAAAAGGGATAAATACTCACATGGTTACTTACTGTTGTGTTAAATGCCACAAAGGGAAGGCACGGTGTGCAATGAGGAAGGTTCTGTCTGAGATAAAGTCCTCTAGCTACAGCATGTGGGGCATCATTAACTGTACTCAGAAGTCTGCATACAGAATATAGAAAAGTCACCCAAGTATGTGAATCATCAAGAATGGAAGGGGAGAAGATATATGCAAATGACATATCTGATAAAGGGTTAGTATTTAAAAGCTATAAAGAACTTATCAAACTCAACACCTAATAAACAAATAATCCAGTGAAGAAATAGGCAGAAGACACAAATAGACAATTTTCCCAAGAAGACATCCAGATGGCCAACAGACACATA